CCTAAAATATTTTGTTGTGTACCGCAAAAAATTTGTGAAGTGTCTATACAGACATTTGTTAAGTTTTAATGCTAGATCCATAATTTTGCTCTAAGTTCTACAAATTGAGTCGTTCCCATCCTTCTCATTGTTTTCCAGAAGATGACTCACAATTCAGGTCAAGTCTGTCATAACACAGAAAATCTCTAAGCACTTCTATGTTTTTGTTGCTGCCAAAGTGTACTGTCTAATAAAATTACAATTTTTAAATGTTGCCAGTAACTTTACTCGGATTTTCAAGTTCAGCAAACCAAGTCTCTTCTCGCATCTTTTCTATGGACGCAAATGGGTAAGAAATCTCATGGTACTCGAAGAATTCAATTTAAAGTATGTTCCTTCTGTAAATCGTTTAGCCTTCTAAAACAACCAGGTTTCTTTCTTAGCAACCAGAACACTGTATTGGTTCTTTTTTTTTTGTTTTTTTGAAAGAATAAAATAGGACCCATTACAAAACACTGAGACTGACTGGAAGGCTTGGTAAAATACTATACATTCATATGAAAATTGTGTGGATTTGCAGGTTTATTTCTTGGTCATAGGAAGCAATCTGATTCTGCGTTGTACATGGACATATAAGCTATCTGCCCATCTCCGCCATAACTACCTCACTGTGTTTGCCATCACTGCCTTGGAGATGCTCCGGCGCTTCCAGTGGGTTTTTTTCCGAGTAGAAAATGAGTGGAACAAGATTAACTCCAGGTCAAGTGTTCAGCTTCACGACATTGCAGATGAGGAAGACAAATTACTTGTTTCAAATGAGCACACTGTATAAATTTTTTACCCAGATGGCTATTTTGGCAGACTCAGCAGAGGCTAAGGGCAATAGCCATCTTCTTTTTCCTTTTCCTCAGAGAAAAACGGTTTTGAACATTGCATTTTTGGTTTACAATGAACATGATCATATTAAATTCTTTTGTTCATAAAAAAGAACATAGCTTGGTGATTAACATAACATTGTTTATTATCTGTTAGAAGCCTGTGTCTATGTCAACGTCTATCGATCGGGATTGCATAAAGTTTGCTGGAGAACTGATCCTTAGGGTTAAAGTCACTAGAGTTCCGGTTCTAATCACTATTGCAACAATCAGAAATTTGAGGGGGAAGGGAAAGGAAGGAAATTGGAGGGGATTCTAGGTGAATATAATAAGATGGAAATTGTTGGGAGAAGGGTATTATGCAGTGAATTTAATGTAGGATTTCTCTTACCCCTTCTCTTTGGCGAATTCATATGAAAGTTACATATTGAGCTGTGTATTAACAAACCTTGTGCAATTTTCTGTTCATGTGTTCAGTAAAAAATATGAAACTGCTCAACTCTTGTAGGAAGAAGAAAGGCATCTTGGCTTGGCAACTGAGTGCAAATTTAGCAAGACTTAAAATTACAAGAACCAATAACCCAATGCTGCTGCTTTGCAAACTGCCTGCCTACTCCACCTAATTCTTGTTTAGTAAAAAAAAAAAAAAAAAAAGGCGATAATTGATTATGATTGAAAAATTCAAATCTCTCACATTTGTTTATCGGACTCTGCAAATGCTGATGGAACTTACCAGACTCTCAAAGCTCCAGAAAATACTAAAGAGATTTCTCTACCTTAATCATTGTGATAATTTCTAAACCCAAAACACTAAGTTAAGCTGTTTTTAGGAATTTTCTTATTTTTACATGGTAAGCTCTCTAAATCTTAAAACTAACCTCAAAAGCCAATCACTATCTACTTCTCTCCACGCACCACATCTCAAAGGACCCACAAGGGAGATAACATCCGCAGACACCCACAAAACACAACCGATAACTGTTAACCCATAACCACCCAATTCTCCAAACCACTCCACACTTTCCTTTCAACACAAACCAAAAATTATGGCCTAAAGCCTAAAATTAACCATGTTAACCACCGGCAACTACTCCGACCACCACACCGGCCACCCAGATCCCACCACCACTCCCAGAGTGCTGACCATCCTCTCTTACGTGCTGGAGAAACTAGTGGCCCGCAACGAGCAGCTGGTCGAGGGCTTGAGCCAGCAGCAGCAACAGCTGGACCACCAGCATCAGGGGCTGATGTTGACTCGGCTGGGAAAGAGCTTGAACGCGTTTCACGGTGTGAGGGCGCCCAGCATTAGCATACCCAAGTATTTGGAGAGGATTTATAAGTACACCAGTTGCAGCCCGTCGTGTTTGGTGGTGGGGTATGTCTACATTGACAGGTTGGTTCACAGACACCCTGACTCGCTCGTCGTATCATTGAATGTCCATAGACTGCTGGTTACCAGTGTTATGATTGCTTCAAAGATGCTTGACGATGTGTAAGCTTTCTCTCCCACATACAGTTCTTCTTTATTCAATTAATTATATAATCCACTTGGGTTTACTTATAATTTTCCTAATGCTGTAATAATTACTCCCACTAACTACCCATAATGCTGCTTCCACCATCTTTCCTAATTTCTTCACATTGCCCTGCCCTCTTCTTTCCTCTTGAATACTTCTCAACTTTTGGGTATTTGGTTAAGTTGAGGTTATTATATAAGCACTTAAAAGAATTGAATGCTTTTTGTTGGGTTCTTCCTATGTGATAAAAACTGAACAGGCATTATAACAATGCATTCTATGCACGAGTTGGAGGGGTGAGCAATGCAGAGCTGAACAGGCTAGAGGTAGAGCTGCTTTTTCTGTTGGATTTCGGTGTGATGGTAAGCTCTCGAGTGTTTGAAAGTTACTGCTTGTACTTGGAGAAGGAGATGCTTTTGAGTGGTGGAGTACAGAAAGTTGAAAGAACAATCTTCTCCCCTGAAATTTCAGCCAAAGCTTCTGACACCATAAGCTCTGAACCTCATGATCTAGAGAAAGATAATCAGCCTAGTCTATAATTTGTAAATTAAGTTAATTTAGTATTTGGGTTAAGGTTTTGATTTTTAATTTTCTAATTTCATTCTAAAAAGATACTTGCTAACAAAATTTTAAAAATTGTTTAATTATTAGGTTAAGTTACATTTAAAATCTTAGTTCTCAAATTAGTTTGAACATGTATAATTAAAGCATAATTTGTTGTATTTAAGTTACTATAATTTAAATTTAAAATTTTCAATAACTATCAAAACCAAATATTACTAGTACTAGGGTTCTGAGCATAATTTATTGCATTTAAGAACAGTAAAAAGGATTTAATTATTAACGAAAAAAATGAAAGGCAATTAAGACCAAAAAATAATAAGAAATTAAATATGAATTCGGTCATTATCTTTGAGTGTGCTTATTTTGTTTGATATTAAATTTGACCTATTAATTTTTTAATACTATCCAAATTTAATAAATAATCCTAAGAAAATTTAATAAGTCACAATCTAAACTATCCCCCAGATTTAATTTAAAAATCTTTTTATGATTGTCAACTATAGTTTTAATTAATTTTTAATAAATCATTTTCTCTGTGTGTTCGATTTGAATTATTCATATATAATATAAATTGCAAATTGAACAATTTTAATTATGCATGGAACGAAACGTTTCGATCCGACCAAACTTCCATTGAAACGCACCGTAAGTTTCTCTCAGCATATGATCCGCTAGTTTGTCTCCCATGGTAAATCCAGCTCCTCCGCTACCATCAACGGTCTATATTCCGCCACGTAAGCATTCAAAATAACAGGACTGTGAAACAATTACTTTATCATAAAACACAGCGAATGAGTCCCTCGCAACAGAAGAGGAAGAAAGAAAACGAAGCAAAACTTTCCTTCCTTTTTTTTTTTTTTTTTTTTTTTCCTTGAGAAAATCGCATCGTACTCTCTCTCTTTTCTCTCTTCTCAAACACACACCATCCGTGGCGCTAACAAGCTTTCTCTCTCTGTTTTGTCTCCAAAGCCAAAAGTGGTTACTTAATTTCTAATGGCAGGCCTGAGAATCTAACGCTCTCTCTTATTAGGCTAAAGGTCGGTCTCACCTTTTATCAAAAACGACGTATCTTTAAATTGGGGAGGTGGGGGGGGGGCCATGGCAGACGCATCGTCTTCATCACCAAAGGAAGAGCTGGTTCAGCTGATCAGCGGTTCGGGGNCTTCTTTCTTTTTCCCAAACTGGATCTGGTGGGATTTTGTCGTTCTTATCTTTATTTCGTAGTTTGGGAACTTTGATTCTTATATTATTTTGACTTTCGTACTGGTTTTAATTTTCGGGGGATTTTGGGTTCACTGTTGTCTGTGAGTTTAGTAATACGTGATACTTCCGATAACTGAAAATTTTCTAATCTATCCGTGGCCACTAGGTCAAATGTGCTTACCTATTTGAATTGCTGGCTGGAGTTTTTACACTGGTAGTGATATGTAATACAGAAGGTGGAAGTAGAGATTTTGTTAGTTCATCCAAAATCGTATTTTTTGGTGGGATTAAATTCATGGGGGAGAGCAGATACTCGTTCAATAGGTTCTCAAAATGATCGTTTGTCGGGAATATTGTTTGATTTGATATTTAATGCCATTTGAATTTTGCATAAGTGCTTCTGTATTTAGTCCTGAGAGATATTAACTAGCAGTGTCCACATATGATATTTACTAATTATGGATTATGATTGATTGGGCAACAAAATGTGCCAGCTAAAATAAGTTATCAAAGTTTTGTTGCAATTTTGTTTCTTTTTGCTTCAGGATCATCTTTGTTGGGCCAATAATGTTACTGAATGATGAGTGTGTCAGAGTTATCCAGCTGTTCCTTTGTTGCATTTGCCCACGTTTTTATTGAATTAACTGTATTGGTTTGACCTCATCGTTCTTTATCAGTTTACTACTGGGACTTTATCATATAGTGCATTGTTGATGTTTACTAATTACATATTTGCAATAAGCATGCACCACCAACACGCGCTCATTTGTCGGGATATTTTGGCTTTTCCCCTTGGATGACTTGTATATTTTGAGAAGGAAAAAGTTCTGGGAAAGGGCTCTAAAGAAAACAATGATTATTCAAGGCACGATTTCCATGTGTAGGCTTTTTGTTAGGATTCTGAATTTCTGATGAGATTTTATGTAACAGTAACTTTACGTCTTGTTTCTATACCATTTTGAGTCTAAACCTTTATACCTCCAAAGTATCCATGTACTCAGTTCAGTGGTAGCATGGGTGAGGAGTTGGTGGAACTATTTGTGCTATTTATCAGGAACTCATTTTGAATGATTTTTGCTCATCAGTATCATGTTATCCATATTTATATTGGAGATCTGAAAAGACAGGCCATGTCTTTAAATAACTTCTGGTTCTTCCTACTGCCAAATTGATGTCAGGATTCACGATCTGTTGGGGCTATTGCTGGGCTTGCTGTTGCAATTGTCTTCACTTGGAGACTGTTGAGATCACCTGACGGACCTCAAAGAAGGCAGCCAAAACGACAACCTCAGGTAACTGGTAGTTCTGTCATCAATACTCAGTCAAATGAAACACAGATGCCATCTGGGGTTTGTTCTGCATCAGAGGACACAAAGGTGCAAAATGTTGTTGATGAGCTCTTTCAGCCAGTGAAGGTAGATCTTTAATTTTTTTTCAGCATCTCTAACTGTATATTTCCTTATATTAACTTATTATATTCTTAATCTGCATTTCCCCTTTGTTTTTGGCAGCCAACCTTGGGGCAAATAGTTAGGCAGAAACTTAGTGAAGGACGAAAGGTAAGTGGCTCCTACTCTCTAGCTCACTTATGATGTGGTTTGATTTTGCTTAGTGGTTGTTGTTAATCTGAAGCAGGCAGTCATAGCGCTTTTATAATGATTCATGATAGACTGGGAATCTATTAATAGGCATATTGTGACCTTTTCTTCGTTGATATGGCTTCATGTATTTTTTGAGCCTTTATATTTTCTCTAAAATGGTTAATTTATATGCTGATGGATCCTCTATTTAAAGCAGATGTTAGAATTTTTAGGTAATGGTCTCAGTCAGTCCTTGTTCTTTGGGATAAATAAGTTGTTTTCGTGCTTCTTTTGGCAAAGGCTAGTGGCTTCTTTAAGGGGAAATTTTATCCACACTGCAATGGGATTGTGACAGCATTTTTTCTTTATGCATCTTTATTTCGTTTGCTTCTTCTTTCATCCTGGAGGATACTCTTTCCCCTCCATCAAATTTGCAATCTGTTCAGCTCTCTAATAGAAGTAGGCTGGCTAACAATTGGTTGTTTTTTTGTGAGTCAAATTGTGAGAATCATCTTATTGCGTCTATGTAACAATAATATGAATATCATCATGGCTGCATGTACAATGATGTCCAGAGGAAAACTCTTTTCTGGATTTCAAGTAAGTGCTGAAACGTACAGGTTGATTTGTTGAGATCAGTGGTCCAAAATAGACCCTGATTGGTCATGATGTGTATGCTGTATTCATAAATTACCTTTAGAATATCC